TTATTGCTTGATTGCTCTTGTATTAAATTCATAGTGCGTTTCCATTTTGAAAATGGCTGTTGTCCTTTCGCGCGTTAGCTTGGTTAAAAATTAATCGTCAATGAGTTCACAAATGCTCTCAGTTGTCGACAACGAGTTCGTGACTTTTCGATGGAGGTCAGGGAACCAGAACTAAAGTAATAAATTTAAAATTTGACAATTATAGCTTTTCAAGTTTAGTTCAATTTCCTTCATTGTTTTCAACTAAACTTCTATATATTCTTAATGTATTTATCGCAAATAAAAATTAAATAGTAGTAAAATCATAAAACTGTATTTACGATACCTATAACCTGCCTACAGAATACGAACAATAGCATTTTGAAATGATTGGCAATCTCAAAATTGACTATTCTAGATTTTATGTTCTCCCCCTAAGTTCATCTTTTCTCCCAAATTAGATATCTTTCCAAGTTACATAACACTGCTTTTAAAGAGAACTAAAATCTAAAATTAACCACTCACAGTTTAGCTGTACACATGGACCTCTCTAGTATAAATAGCTACTAACTGCGTAGTCTCTTTCGCCTCTTCGCTTGCCGGCTGACAGCGTGTCGCTCAGCCTTTGTTAGCTATTCGCCATTATTTAAAATCTAATTGCATATCCAAAATTATGGGGCGCATTTAGCATCCCTAATCTTCTACCAGTTACGAAGGTATGTTCTAAGAAATTCGTCATCCAAAAATAAATGATTTTTAACTATCGAGATGGGTCGTGTTTCTTCTAAAATTTCAGCTGGTCATTCTACTACGTCGCAATTTCCATTCATCTAGGGAGCAGTATTTACGGCCATGATTAAAACGTGAATTGTTTTCTTTCATCTTCCGCGAAAAGTACAACGTTACAAATATATATATATATATATATATATATATGGGGATACGCTTCTTTTTATAAGTAATAATGGCAACGTGCACAACAACAAGATCACGTGACCATTTTCGGCGGACGCTAGACAAGAATGAAAGTTTGAAAAACCAAAAGAACTCCGAATTCTTTTTATGATGTGATTCCGCTTAATATTATTGCGTACGTACGGGTTCATAATAGATCATTGCCTTTTATTACATATATATATATATGTAAGAAAAATAAAGAATATGTAAAAGGGAGAAAGTGCAGAATCGCCCGCTGCTTGGCGCGTTTTTAAGAATTGCACATACTCGGTGTCCATGTACACATCGACCTATTTTCACTTAAAAAAAACATTCCAGAATTGCACAAAAATGGCATTGTGCACCCTTGACTTTATCCATGTGCACATCGACCTATTTTCACTTAAAAAGTCAAAGAAAATTGACAAAAATCCAATTCTTCTTACTTGTAATTACTTTCTTGTAAAAAGCGCCAAACAAATAAGTGGGCGATTCTGCGCTTTAGCCTGTAAAAGATTAAATTAGCAACGTAAATTTCTCTTTTCAGTTCTAAAAATAGTACCCCCTCTCTGCACTGCGTCATTTCGAGATTAACCCACGTCATATGACTCTTACATAACTCTGATGATGTAAATGGAACTAAAACTCAAGGAGCCAACAATAATTTTGCAGAAATATTAACTATCCAATCAAACTGCTTTGAGAAACAAAACTAATTCGGTCTGACTTGAGATTTCATCCTGAACATTACGCACTTTCTTTCTATGCTTTGCCTTAGCTAGACTGCTGTCTGTCTGCTGCTGCTTTCTTGCTACAAATCTATCAAAAATGTAAGCCCTTTGGAACAGGCACATTTAATGTGCCGACTTGTGTGTAGCCGCAACATGTTGAAAAAAAATAAAACTGAAGATTTAATCTGCCTTCGCCTTCAATTTCCTGCTCATTGCTTCTAAGTTTGAATATATTACATATATATATATAATGAAAGCACTTGTATAAAGAGATTACTTGCATATTTTACAAGGACTTAGAATATAAAATTAAAAACTTTTAATAAATCAAATTTAATTTAATAAATAAATTTTAACTTAAAAATTAAAATAAATGTTGATTTTGTTGATTTGTAGTTAAGAAAGACTCGCCGTCTTTAACTAAGATTGAAAAATATATTTATTCGCCCTCTATTATATTTGTTTATTTTTATCTTTGTTTATATATAGATAATTTCTAGTATTTACTCACCATAACTCATAAAGTAAAATAGTTTTAGCTCTGCATTTAATGTGTAGAAAAATTCGTGTGTAGTTTGAAATACGGAACAGATTTCGTTACGTGGGCCATTTTTCAGTTTGCATATGCTTTCGTTACGAGGAATTGTGTGCTTTCGTTATGAGGAAAATTCGTTATGAATGGCGCCACTCTCTTCTAAATTAAGAAATAGCTAGTTTCTGGTAGAAATCAGTTTTACCTGCTAAAATAATGCTATTGTTCATAAAATGGTGAAGTGGAGTTTAAAAATTAAAAGTCTTGCATGCAAAGTTTTCGCGAAAGATAGCTGTGCTCTCCGTAGATTAAAACACCGAATCAGTAAAACAGCCACTAAGCTTCGAATAAATTAAAAATTCCCACATCTTTAACTACAAAATTTGTTAAAATACATATAATTAATGTTTTCATGGGGATAGATTACGTGGATATTTACTATTTAATAAATTAAAATAATACATTTTATTGCTAATTAATAAAGCTTAATCTTAATTATTAAACTTACAATCTAAAGTAGAAAAAGGTAACAAATGTCAACTTTAAGAGCTCCATTTGATTCTGAATTTCTTTTTCGAACGTGAAAGGTAAAATAGGAAAATATCATTATGTTAAAAATATACATTATACTACATTTGAAAAAGATTACCTTTGGAATAAAATTCAAAAAGAAGGAAATAACTAGAAATTATTTCAATCTCATTGTTGCTACAAATTTTCATCTTTTACCAGATTTTATTTTTAAATGTCACACGTATTCTAAAAATAGAAATTGTTGCAATTTGCATAATGCATAGTGTTAGTGTAATTTATTTAAAAATTGTACACGAATATATAAAAACAGATAAAATTATTTTTAAGTAATTTATTTTATTATGCTGATAAGAAACGCTTTTTTTTTTTTTTTTTAATACGGAAGGTATATCGAGGATCTTAAGTTTCCTCAGCTGAAAACACACCTGACCTTTATTTATAGTGAACAAAAATGAAAAGTAAATATCCTTTTGAAATGCTAAAAGCACTAGAACAGCAAATCGATTAATTATTTATTGCTAATCATGTAAAATGTTTCCCCAGTTTAAAAAATGTATTATTTATCAGTTCAAAAAGAATTCGGTACTTTTCCGTTTCGCCGGCGCAAATCTCGCCAAGCAGACTTTATTGGCAACAACATACAGTATACACATAAACAATATTTAAAAAATGTTAGTTCTAAGAATTCTTTTCTTGAAGGCATAAACATTTTAATATCGCTTAAAATTTTATAAAAAGCCAATAAATAAAGACCATAAATTTGTAAAAAGATATATTAATTTAAGAATTTACTATGCTTTCATGGTTCAACATCCTGATTCGTAGGTTCATATCACGTGACCGCAAGCGATCTCATCTCACGTAAACTACTCTACAAAAATCTAATGCTCTCAGTAATTATCTACATTAATTTCAAGTTAAATCTCAATTTGGAACACAAGTTTAAATGCAAGAAATATTTCAATTCGTACGAATAGCTTACTCAGAAATTATGTAAAACTGCAGTGCTTCGCTAATGCACTCTCATTAGAATTGATGAATTTATCCCTTGACTTTACCTTTTCTATATTTTCGGCTTCGGGTAAGCGCTGTGATTGCATCTTAATTGACTTAATTACCGAAAATGGCCTTAGACATAAAACTGAACTATCTGATAAAAATTCTATGTAATTATATGCCAGTATTGAAAGAAACAATCAATCTGATAAGAAAAAGCTGCGACTTGTTTTGAAAATGAGGCGTAAAAAGTTACCAGCGAGAATATTCCGTTTGGCATCGGTTGTACCATTATTGGCGACTTTATCGCTTGCGCCGACAAAACGGAAAAGTACCAAGAATTCTTTACCATACCTCTCAGTAGCAGGAAAATACATACCCAGTAATTTCAGTCCAAACTAGATATGCCAAATGTTGCTAACCCTCGTTTTCTGTGGCAAAAAGTACAGAATAATAGGAATAATTTAAGTCTGTGTGGTCCAACCTCCAGCCGTCGTATTCATTTATATTGGCGATTCTCCTTCTTACTGGATAAAAAATATTAATTAAACATTTTTAAAAAATCGTATACCCTTTTTACTGCTTCCTGCTGTGCTGTAGGGCATATTAAAAGAGCAGATTTAGGGGGAAACCGCTGATATTGACAAAGCTGCACAATCAGATGGCAGTTTCTTTCATTCTCAGAAATGGGAGCACCTTACATTCTTCATTTCTCCTATAACAGCCACCTAGATAATAAGCTTCACTATTCGAATGTTATAATCCCTAGTGTGCATGCTTCGATTTTCACTTTCGTTCAGTATTACCTAAAATGGCGGAGCTAAAGAAACGCGTGTCAAAGATAAGAAACGACAATTTCAACCCAAGTAGTTGGAAAGTTACTTTTGTTCAAAGTAATGGAAAACCACATTGTGTTATTTGTTTTTAAGTATTTCGAAGAAGTATGATGTGAGTACACACTATGCCAACTTTCATGAATCAAAATACGACCAACACCAGGGAAGTGCCAGGAATTGCGTGTTTCATGATTTGAAGCTGAAACTAACTTAACAGAAGAGTATCTTCCAGCAACCATCAAGTACTACTTGTTTAAAGTACGTTTGAGGCATGCTTAGAGTTAGCTAAAAGCAAAAGTCTTTTAGGGATAGTGAACTGATTAAAAGGTGTACTGTAAAAATGACATCTTCATTTGGAGATAATAAAACGCCTAAAATTTTGTCAGAGAGGCACCGAAAAATTAACATTCCTCATTATTAACATCATAAATCCATATTTACGTTTGGCCTACTTACCATCACAACAGAAACATGTACTGATTGTGATCTCTTTTAAAATCAGGAAAGGAGCAGGCTTCCCACCAGCTATCGCCGAATAAGTCCGCGATCATGTATTGGGAAAATCCTTGAAAGGGCTGTTACAAATTAAATGAATTTCTTGTTAGCAATATTATCAAAAACAACCAATTTGGATACATACTATTACGGATTTTACATTTATTTAGTTATTTTTGGTAGAATTTGCAATTAAAATAGTTTTATATTCCCATGCAATGCAGCACGAGACTTATTTGAAGAGAAAGCTACACCGGAAAAATTAAAATACAGGAGCATGCGCATTTAACATTTTAATAAATAGATATCTCGTAATTGTACTCTTTTGTTATCCAGAAAAATCGAGAAATACGAGAATGTTCTCGTGCATTATTGAAAAGCATGATATAAAAGCTGGAGGAAAACATCTCAATTCCAAATGTTACTAAGTTCTTGTTGTTTATTGTAGTGAATTCGCCTCGAGATCGGATTAGCTTTCTGTGTGTTTGAGTTCTATTTAACGTTTTAGTAATTTAATATATAACTACTGCGAGATATTGCGATATTGTACGAATATCTCTAAAGAAATTTCAGCATTTGTGTTATTTCTTGGGATACGAATAAATTTTATTAACTTTTTATCGACTTACGCATTCAATCCATTACGAACCGTACGCACGCAACAATACATAGACATTGTACTATACGATACAAATTCTCAATGTCATAGAAACAACTGCGGAGGCTTTTACGAAAAACAATGTATAGCGGCTTGCTTTCTAGACCTAAAGAAAGCCTTTGATCGAATCTGACATGAAGGACTTTTGTACAAACTTGACATGATCAAGCTACCACCCATTATGATTCAATTTCTTACTGTCGAACATATCATGTTCGTGTGGGAGACGTACTATCCAGCAAAAAAATTTATACGCACTTGTATTCCTCAAGTAGCGGTATTGGAACCCACACTTTGATGTATATATGGACCCACACCATATATACATTAAAGATATGCCAGAGCCTCTCAGTAGCAAGACTGCAAAATATGCCAATGACACAGTAGTTATAACAAATAAATCAATCCAAATCATGCTATAGAAAATCTACAACTATGTCTGTATATAATCACCCACTAGTGTAATTTACGGCAATTTAAATTAAATACAAGTAAATATAGTATTATATTATTCAGAAGAAAGAAGAAAAACCATCGTATCAGTTTAAATTTGTTGTCAGTTGGAAATCAAATTCTCCTTGCCGTAAATTCTAAAAATATCTGGGTGTAATCCTAGATAATCAGTTAAATTTCAAGAAGCAAGTCAATTATACTACACACAAGGCTAATGCGGCCTTTATGGCATTGTATCATTTATGAACTCTTGGGGAGGAAATCGAAGCTAAACTTCAGAGTGATAAGGACTCTGTTACATAACAGCGATTCGTCCAATTATCTTTTCTGCTATACCAGTTTGGGCTACAGCACCCGAATCTTACGGTAAGAAACTATGGCTATTGTGATGGATGCCATTTTTGATTGCACGTTGAATGTTAACAAAATCTTACTCGGTAATATTAACATCTATATTTAATTCTAGGATGATATATATTTTAACATATATTCATTCATACACAATCACATTGCATGTAGTTACAAGATGAGCATTTTTACAGTTCGCAAGTCCGCATGAGTAAAAATCAAGAAAGTCATATTACAGCTACGATAACATCACCGAGGGAAAGAGAGGTGAGGGCGTGCTTCACCGACGACCAGCCAGGAACCGAGTAACCAGTTCGAATTTTTCCTCCAGAGAGGAAGAGGGAGAAAGCTGTAGCGCCCTCTCTTGGGGCAGCGGACAAATAATAATAATGAAGAGTTCTCCACAGTATTTTCCCCCCGCCCGAGTACCAAAGGTACGATGAAAAAAAATCAGTTCACAAATATCTGGTGTTGAAGCGCACACGTCTTCCCGATCGTGTGACGACTGGTGGAGCACTGGGAGGAAGCGTAAGTTCGGTCGAAGGAGGAGTATCCGGAGTAGCAGTTGGATCCGGGGAGTCAGGAGGATCGCTGGTCACAGGAACCTGAGTGTTTGAAGCTTCGAAGAAAGCAGGCTTCAGACGATCTATGCTCAGAACGGTTTCCTTGTCGCGCACGAGAACGGTGAAATGCTTATTGTTACGTGCACAGACCTTGAAGGGTCCATCGTATGGAGGAGTGAGTGGTGGTTTGACCGCGGCGTTTCGCACAAACACGTGAGTGCATGTGCTCAGTGCGTGGTGCACGAGAGGGGCAGATTTGTTGTGGCACGAAGTAGGAGTCGGAGACAGCTTCTTCATCGGCTCTCGGAAAGTCTGGACAAAGGATGCTGGATCGACTGGAGCAGAGGATGACTGAAAGAACTCAGATGGTAATCGAAGGGGTGTGCCGTAGACAAGTTCAGCGAATGTACCTGCGAGGTCTTGCTTGAAAGAAGAACGCAATCCAAGAAGCACAAGAGGAAGTGAAGTAGTCCAACGGGTGTCATTAGGGCTGCTTTCAGGTCGCGATGCAAGCGTTCCACTAAGCCGTTGGCGGAAGGATGGTATGGTGAAGTGCGAATTCGGCGTATTCCAAGCATAGATGTCAGAGAAGCGAAAAGGTGTGACTGGAATTGTCGACTTTGATCAGTAGTCACAACCAAATCGTGCAATCCAACCGGTGAGCCACAGAGTCAGCAGAAGATGTTCCTGAATGGGAAAAGCTTCTGGCCAAGGAGTAAACCTGTCAATGCAGGTGAGTAGATATTGGTAACCTTCAGGTGGCGGCAGAAGACTGACGATGTCTATATGAACATGGTCGAATTACTCGGAGGGCATCACAATTTTTTCCAAAGGGCTATGTGTGTGTGTGTGCCGGGTAACTTACGAACATTGGCACATGATGCAGAAATGAGTCCAGTTGGCAATGTCCTTTAATATGAAAGGCCAAACGAATTCTTTCTTGTATATGAGCTTTTTGGAAGCCCGGATACCTGGGTGCGATAGGATTGTGGAAACAGTCAAAAACTTTTTTCCTGAATTCAAGTGGTACATAAGGTCAAAGTCTGTTGTTAGAAGGTATCGCACAATAGTTGGAAAGGTCCCAGAAGTAAGTTGTAATGACTGGAATTTCAATGAGCAGTTTGAAGTCTTCACTCAGACGTTTTAACTCCTCATCAGTGGCTTGTGAGTGAGCAATAAGAGTAAAATCCAGTGGTGAATTAACATTGATGTTTTGAATAAACAAGAGAGTATCTGACAACATTGCTGGAACCTGATATATGCTTAAATATCCAGTACTGAACTGAGCTATTATAATTTAAATGCCTAATTGTCGTGAGGAAGCAGAATTTGATTTTGATGTGAATGCATAAGTTAGAGGTCGGTGATCAGTAAATATAGTGAAGTGTTGACCTTCAAGTTTATGCCTGAAATACTTAATAGCTGCGTAAATAGCTAATAATTCTCTGTCATACGTGCTGTATTTTTGTTCTGTAGGGGACAGCTTCCGTGAGAAAAATCCTAGTGGCTGGTAGTCATTAGAATATCGAACGTTTAAGACAGCTCCGATGGAAATGTCAGAAGCGTCGACCTTAACACTCAGCTTTTAGTTAGGAGAGTGATAGGAGAGAGTTGCAGAATTACTAAGGTCGTGTTTACATTTTTCAAATGCCTGATTAAGTTAGTCGTTCCTAGAACAGGGCGTTTATCATTTTTACGTGAGTCTTTTAAGAGTTCATTCATTGAAGCTTGGGTCTCGGCTGCCTTTGGTAAGAAGCGGCGATAAAAGTTTATCATGGCTAAAAAACGTCTGAGCTCGACAATAGTGGTAGGTTTTGGGAAGTCGGCAATTGCTTTTTTTTCTCAGGCAGGGGTTTTACACTGAGGCAGTAATGAGGCAACCTAAAAATGAAACAGATGGTTTTTCCGGTACACATTTGTTAGGGTTTAATGTCAACCATGTTTATTCAACGATCAAACACTTGACAAAGCTGACGGATGTCTCCGCTAGTCGATGCAGTCGGTGTCGTCAAAATAAGGGATGCAAAAATCCAATCCAAATAAAACTTCATGTATAAAACGTGGAAAGTTTGGCCTGATTTCGTAAACCAAACCATAGCCAAAAATTCAAAAGAACCAAAAGGGATTGTGACGGGCGTTTTCGGAATGTCTGCAGGGTTAACAGGAATTTGATGATGGCACGTGCTAAATCAGTGTGAGAATATGTTCTTTCCTGAAAACCTTTGAGTGCAATCCTGAATATGGGGTAGGGATAGCGATCCGGAATTGACGGCATTTAAGCGACGATTCCCCGCACGGTCGCCAGTCGCCATTAGCCTTCGAACCATGTGCAGGGGCTTTGACCAGGACTTTTTGAAGGCTGAATGATGCCTTTTGATAGGAGAAAATCCAAACTCTTGACGTGCAGCTTGAGTAATTCTGGAGATATCTTCTAGGTTTGAGAAATAGGGGTCCTTTAGTTCATGCGATGGAAAATCGTTGACATTGGTGGCCTCTCAAAAGTTGCGAAGAATTCGTAAGCTAGGGTAATCGCAAGAATTTGTCAAATTTTGAATTACCCATCAAATATGAATGCTATACTGACGAGTTCACATTTAGGAAGTCTCCGCAAAAATATGTTTTGTTTGTCCATCAATTAACGGTTGTTTTAGTCTATGAGTAAGTTGAACTTTGTGAAAAGTCAAAACCTATGATGGGTTGATTGACGTCTGCCAGGAAAAGGCCAAGTAACGAGCGACGTAAGTTTAAATTGATGGTCAAAAGTTTGGCGCCATACGTTGCTATTTTGGTGCCGTTAGCAGCACAAAGTACCAATGCAGCTGGGTTTTTGGCATGCTGACTGTAACTCTTGGAAATGATAGATAAATCGGCTCGGTGTCAATTAAAAAAGTCGATTAAAAATGTGTCATTAAAAAAGCTTTGACGATGGATCGGCCAAAAGAATTTCAATAATGTGGTGGTCGCAACGTTGACCGACAAGCGATCGTCGATCTAGTTTTTCGACTGCCGGAAAATTGCATGGAGAAACACATTTCCTTGCATTGGAACCAAAATTAGTATGGTAGAAACAAATGTTGTTGCACGGTTCTTTATACTGTCGATAGCGTCCATTGGATCTATTA